CTGCTTTCTGAACTGTTACTGTTAATTGAATGAATGTATGTCCTATATTCTGAACTGTATTGTGGCATCCTTAGTACCTACTGTTTACTGTTACTGTTACAGAGATCTCTTTCGGTTCCCTTGTTGGAACCACTACTGTTTACTGATTGATGGCCATCATTGACTGTTCGGTCTTTTAAGACCTACTGTTTACTGTACTGTTATGCTAATTTGTGTACCACATATGACTGTACTGACTGAACGACTGAAATACTGATTTAATGAACTGTTTTCAATACTGAAAGGACATTCATTCTTAACCCCTTTACGCATTGTGTTATTCACTGGGTTTTAGCTCACTTCTCATATATATATATATATATATATATGTAGGTGTACAGGCACCAGACCGTGGTTAGAAGCATCGGGGTAAGCTCCAGTTTTGTCAAGCCAACCACTGTGCCTCACTGCGAGGTTCTGAGCCTGTCAAGTTATGGCTTAGGGGTGTTTTTAATTTCCCCTTTCTGTCTCTGTAACTGTTTTGTTTACTGTACTGTACTGTTTAATAAGGATTAGGTCCCTGAACTGAATGATTGTATATATGTACATACTGTTTTGTCCGACTGTATATATTTGAATGAAAAGTCTTTTTGCATACAGACTGTCACAGCTCATTGGACACTGTATATTTACTGTTTTGGCTTCCGCCAGCCCCTGTACTCTGTATTACTGTATTACTGTTAAGCAGGCCTTCGGTAATCTCGGATTACTGGCCGGTTACGGTGCTAAACCCATAGGGGCGGGTTTGGGTCGTGACAAGAGCCCACTCTGAGCGATGACGATGTTGAGACTAGCGAGACCAAGGAGGCTGTGGGTCAGCACGCCGAGTCATCCGAGAATAGAGACAATGACGCTGGCTCGGGTTCTGCTAGTGGAGATGATGTTGAGTCAGGCTCTGAGGCAGAGAGCAGTGATGACTCTGGTTCAGACTCCGGTTCAGAGGGAGGTGCAGACAGCGGCGCTGACGGAGACAGTTCTGAGACCCTGCCTAGGAAAATGACGAAAAGGACCTCTTGAGCCTGAGATAGCTGGCGTTGATTTATTTCTTTTTTGGCTTTGTTTCTTGTTATTAGTGGTGTTAGCGCTTTGTACAGCTTTAGATGGATTTTATTTTTCTTTAAAACTTGTACTCTTTTGTAAAAAGTAACCATGATCAGAATGAAAACAGCTTTTTGATGAAAAAGTGTTATATTTTGCATTTTGAGCACTGCATAACATCGCATAGCATAAAAACAAGATTGATCTGGATTAAAAATTGCACATTATGTTGGCACTTTCTTAATCAGAAAATGAACCGACCAACACTTAACAAACAAAGCAAGACAAATTGATAAATAACTAATAATAACAACTCGATAAACAACGTAACAACTCGACAAGAAAAAACAAAAAAAATACAACTCGATAAGCAACACAGCAACTTGATAAACAACACAAATACAACTCGATAAACAAAACAAGACAAATACAACTCAAATGAACATGCTCAAGCCCAAAGGGACTAAAAACAAGACCTTGAAATGTGCAAAAATCAAAACAAAGCACAAGTTCTTAGCACTCTCAATATACAGGTGGACGACAAGATAGACCAAGAGGCCATCGGCCACATATAGAGACTGTCGGCCACTAGTGGTGGCTATCGGCCACCAGTGGTGGCCGGTCGGCTACAAAAGTGGCTTGTTGGCCATCACCACTAGCCGGTCGGCCATCAATGTGTGGGACCTCCAGATTGTTGCCACTTGTCTTCCACTCATTGCCTTATCTTCTACAAAAGCTAGGATTTCGTAGTTTCTTCATTCCAGCTCTGTTTTTACCACAATTGGAGCCATTCTTTGCCAAAAAACTTTCAAATTGGATTGCAACTTTGGATAGTTTGAAAAAAGTGAATTTTTGAGGTTTCAGGATAAATGCACTATTCCCGCTAAGTCATTCTCCACTGTGTTTTCCATTCCTCCACGCCACGGGTAGGTGTTGGAACCCGATCACACATGTTTTCAGCTTTGGGGGGCAAGAGATATGCCCTTCAATTGAAGAATTCTAAGTTTTGATGGAATCCCGGCGTGACGACGAAATCTTGTCTCAGTCCTGTTTTAGCCACATCCAAGCTCTAGGAAGGATGTATGGGCTCACTGCACACGAGGATCGATCCTTGGTTCACAATGGAGAGCTGGATATTCCTAGTCTTATTCATCAATTTTCTAACGTCGGTGACCGCAGCGACCGTCTTTGGCAGAGTTTTCGGCAGCATGCCCTTTGTTTGTGTATGTTGGCTCATTTTCTTCTTGCCCCAAGTTTCGGAGGGTCTAGCATTCACTTGATCGAAGTAGCTCGAGGTTTGAAAGAGGGCAAGAGCTGCATTGGCTTAGCATTAGCCGAGACTTTGATGGGCTTGGATGCCTTCCATCGGCGGGAGACGACCAAATTCGCAGGAAGTCCACTACTTCTTCAGGTAATGTTTCCCACCCTGTCTCATATGTGTTTCTCACATCACTCGGCACTCAGGCTCTGCTTTTCTCTCAATACGCTTTCTTACTTTTTCTCTCCACATACACCTCTCTATTCTTTAATCTCTCTTATTTTTCATCACTTCCCATATATAGCTCATGGACAGGTTGAAGGTAGTGGACTTTTGTCTTGCATATTCAGCACGAGGCTATTTCTTTCGCCAACGGCTAGTTGATTTCCTGAACGAAGGGTGGTGGTGCCATTGGATGTGCAACAGGTCTGCTATTGACGTTGCCTGGCGTTGCTCCTGGTTTGATCTACCCGAGATAAGCTACAGCATGTCTCGGTAGCCTGGCATTCAGCTGATTGGCTTGACACACTATGTATTTTACTTCCTATTCAAGTTCAGGCGTCAGTTTGGACACGACCAAATTTTCCCAGAAGAATGGGTGGAATACCCGGTTTCATTCTTCATCCGCGGCTCATAATTAGCTCGATACTTCACTGCTTGGAGGACAAGAAAATTTTTGTCTCTTGCTCCCAATTTCAATTACGCCTTATCTGACGAATGCATAGCTTGGCTCAAAGAAGAGGCACAAATCGGGCCTACTGTAGCATCTGAAACTTCCACAAGCTCTAGGAGGGGATGCAGCAACACCTAACTCATCTGTGCCCCAAGTTTATTGCTTTGATCTGTACTTTCAAGTTTTCCTTTTGAATGTAATAAAGAGCAACTTTGATTTGTATCGAAAGCTAGAGAACTTTGTATTGAAATCAATGAAATTGAAGTTGTGGGCACTGAAAATTTTTCTTTTGGTCCAAAAATGATCTAAGTTGTAAAAAGATTAATTTGAACAAAATCAACTTTTGTCAAAACTTTTCAAAACCATTTTCGATAAGGATCACAACTTGACACACATGGAATCTATCCTTGAGATGTTCAAACCATGAAATTAGAAATAGAAAATTGCCCCTAGACTGAATAGCACTGATCAGCACTGTAATCAGCTCTTCTCTCAGGGTAAGCATCACAACCGATCTTTCAAACAACGAGTCAGACAAGGATGCCTTGATCAAACATATGGACACAGTTGATTTGGAGGTCTTTACGGCCGGACTTCATAATGAAGTTGCCTACGTATCCCGAAGAGGAGAATCAGGCCTTACGTAGTTCGGTGTGGGTTCACTCGAGTATTAACGTTCTCCTTTTGCGCTCTAACTTTTGCCATGGCCGCCCTTTCTAGGTTTTCAACCTTGCGAGCTTAGTTTTTATGTTGATTGGTTGGGAGAATTCTAGGCCATCCAAGTCCATAAGAATAACAGTTCCACCCGACCAGATAGATTTGATGATGTAAGGACCAATCCAATTGGGTCTAAACTTGTCCCTAGGGTCATGGATCGAAGCTCGGTTGACTTTTAGCACCAAACCCCCTTTTTTCATATTCCTGGACTAAACTTTCTTATTGAAAACCTTCGCGATTCTGCGTTGATATCCTTGGACATGGTACAGTGCTTTCAGCCTCCTCTCATCGAACAGCATTAGTTCTTCGAACTTACTCTGTTGCCAATCCACTTCTGCTATTTGGCACTCAGCCATAACCCGCAGTGACGGAACCTCTATTTCGATCAGCAGAACAGCCTTCATCCCATATACCAGAGAATACGAAGTTGTCCCAGTACATGTCTAAATTGAAGTCCTATGGCCCCAGAGAGCAAATGGCAATTTGTCTGGCCAGTTCCTGTAAGTTTCAACCATTTTCTACAAAATGTGCTTAATGTTCTTGTTGGCAGCCTTAACAGCTCCGTTGGTTTGCGGCCAATATGTGGATGACTTATGAAAAGCCACATTGTATTTCTCCAACAAGTCGATCACTTCTTTCTTGAAATGGGAGCCATTATCTGAAATGATCTTGTTCAGGACTCCATAACGGCAAATAATGTTGTTACGGATGAACTTAGCCATATGCACTGCTTTCAACACTGCATAAGACTGAGCTTCCACCCACTTCGTGAAATAATCAATTGCCACCAGAATGTACTCATGTTCGACCTTTTCAGTGTAACTGCCCCAATAACGTCAATTCTCCAGACTGAAAACAACCAAGGTGAAGTCATGTTGTACAGCTTCGACGGCGGGATATTCATGCGATTTGCATGAATTTGGCATTTGTGGCATCGCCGAACAAAACCTATACAATCCTTTTCCATGGTTGACCGGTAGTAGCCCTGCCTGAGAATCTTCTAGGCTAGCATTACTCCACTCATGTGTGCACCACACTCCCCCCCATGGATGGCCTCCATTAGACGCTTCAACTCTTCAACATCAACACACAGCTCGTGCATTCTCAGATGACCACGTTTGTACAACTTACCCCCACAGATGATAAACTGAGCAGCCATTCGCCGTTTTGCCCTCTTATCTTTGGCATTTGTCCCTGGTGGATAAGCCTCATTTTCTAAGAAGTTCCAGATATCATAATACTAGGGGTTTTGATCTTGCACTTCATCTATTGTGACAATCAACTCATTGGCCGGCATGTACCTCTGTTTAATAATGATCGGACGCATTTGGACTCCAAAAGAGATGTCTACCATAGAAGATAGAATTAATAAAGTATCAGCGAACCTGTTGTTCTCTCTTAATAAATGCGTGAAGGTTAGCTTCTCAAACCTAGGAATCAGAACATCCAGGGTTTGGTAATAGATTTTCATCATTTCTTCTTTAACCTTCCAGTCTCCTTTTGCTTGAGACACAACCAGGTTAGAGTCCCCAATGACGTCCAACCTTTTTGTCCTTAGTTCCAGGGCGGCTTTCAAACCAGCGATACACGCTTCGAATTCTGTCTCGTTGTTGGATACTTTGAACTGGAGTTTGAAGGCTAAGGGTATATGGGAATTGTCGGGTGCTATTAGCAACACACTTATCCCATAACCATACTGGTTAGATGCTCCATCAAAGTACATGGTCCAAACCTCTTCATCGACTTGCAGAATAGCCTCATCTGGGAATAGGTACTCTACCGCTTCGCCTCCTTCCACTGGGTGATCGGCTAGGAACTCCGCTACAGCCCTTCCCTTAACAGACTTGCGAGTGACATACTTCAAATCAAATTTGGAAAGAAGAAGCAACCAACGAGCTAGCCTACCTGTAAGTGCTGGTTTCTTGAAGAGATATTTGATGGGGCCAAATCTCGAAACCAGAATTACGGAATGAGCTAACAAGTAGTGCCTCAACTTCCTGATGGCCCATACCAAAGCTAAGCAAGCCTTTTCCAGCGACGTATAGCGGGTCTTATATTCCAGCATCTTCTTGCTCAGGTAATAGATGGCTTTCTCCACCCTATCCTCAGATTCCTGCGCAAGCATGCAGCCCATAGTCGTGTTGGTGACTGACAGGTACAGAATCAATGGCTTCCCTAACTCTGGTGGCGACAACACAGGTGGGTTCTAAAGATACTACTTGATTTGCTCAAAAGCAAACTGACATCAGTCATCCCATTGAAATTTCTTTCCTTTCTTCAAGAGACCAAATAGTGGTTCACAAGTCAAAGTTAATTTTGAAATAAACCGTC